CAGGTAATTCGTAGAAACCATGAGCTAATTTTCTATGGTTCTAGAGGAAGCAAGGAAGTCTGATAGGTGATACTGCCTATCCTGCCTCTGCCAAAGCTCTGAAAGAACTATGTTTAGTCACACTCACCTGCCTTTTGCCATGCCTATCCTATCCCACATTTTTATTTTTCAAATATTTGTCTCATTCTCTTTTAAAGTTATGGATTCTACATGAACCACCATTCTATAATAATCCTTGCATTTGATATAACGCTTTTCACATCGGGAGGACGTCCCAAAGTGCTTCACAGAACACACTGTAAAGTGAATTGACTGTATATTTGTGGGCGAACGCGGCAGCCAATTGCGCACAACAATGTTCCACAAACACTTGTAGATTGAAAATGACCAATTTATTATTGTTTTTGGTTTTGGAGGATTATTAGGGCTGTGGAGTAAGGAAACTTGCCCAAGGTTTCGCCCTCTGCCTGGAATTGAACTCAGGTCTCTCGCTTGCAAAGCGAGTGCTCTAACCACTGAGCTACAGGACTCCACAAGACTCCACATTCTAGAAGGGCATGCTGTGCCTGAGTAACCCTGTATGTGTCAAAACAAAATTCTCCACACTTTTCCCATAGTTTTGTTTTGGAAACAATCTTAACTTTATGCCCTTGAGTTACCTGACCAGGGACATGCCTCCTGAATAGAGAAAAAAGATGTTAAGAACATTAGAAGGTTTATTCAGTTCATTCAGTCCTCCAGAGTCTGACGTTAATACTATAAACAAATTAAGTCGCAGACACCTCCACAGAGGTATTACTGACAGATATAGCAGAAAGAGATATGAGGAATTTTAGACATCTCTCGATATTCTTGCAGGTAAATCTCCTTCTATTTCCGTACAGGCATTTTCTACCCAAAGGTATGGGATTGAAATCAATTGGAGGGTCAACCTAAACCATATCTGGGGTCTCTCTCAGAACCAGCACAGAAATGATAGGCCTAATGGCTTTCTTCTATGCTGAAATGTCAATGACTTGATGCAGTGCTTACAGATCCACCCGTTACAATTTTGTTTGTGAATCTCACAATGAGTCAGACCCCCATTCGTTTCAAAGCGTGCTTTCTGTAAATATACGTGTCTCAAATTCTAGGATGTCTAGTGAATGATTGTGAACACAAAGACTATTCACTATATGTTGATGATGATAATCTTACTTTTGATTTAGCACCTAATCACGTTGAAACATCTCAACAAGCTTCACAGATCTTTCGGTGAGCTGCATTGGCTGTCTTTTGATGGCAAATGTGGCAGCCAATTTGTATAAAATATCCCACAAACAGCCATGACTGATTTTTTAATTCAGGGAACTGTTGGCCAAGATGCCAGGAGAAACTCACTTCCCTTTTCAATGAGTGTCATGTGATCTTTAATGTTGACTTGAATAGTCAGACAGGACCTGGGTTTAACATCTCATCCCAAAATGGCACCTTTGACAATGCAACATTTCTATCTGATAATTGCGTGTCAGTCTGGCTCAGTAGTAGCACTCTCATCTCTGAGTCACAAGGTTTGGATTTCAAGCATAAGCTGACACACCGATACAGTGCTGAGGCCGGGGGTTTCTGCATTGTCGGAGGGGCCGTCCTTCAGATGAGATGTTAAACCGAGGTCCTGTATGCTTGTTCAGGTTTGGACATTAAAGATCCCGTGTTATTATTCAAAAAGAGTCGGGAGTTTCTCCCGGTGTCCAACTAATCCCCCAAATAAATTTGGTCACTCACTCCATGGCAGTTTGTGGAACACTGTTGCACGCAAACTGGCTGCCATGTTTTGCCCACAAAATTCATAGTCACTCACTTTACAATAAATCCTGTGAAGCTCTTTGAGACATCTCTACGACTTGATAAATCACTATATCAAATGCAAAAAGCAAGGATTATTATAATTATTACTACCATTGTTTTGGAGTGTCAGCCTAGACTACAAGCTCAAAGTCTCAACATGGGGCTTAAACCCACAACCTTCTGACTCAGGAGTGAGAATGCTACCAACTGAGCCAGGATGACACCAGTTTTATAAGCACTGAACTTCGGATGAACTTGATGCATCTCTTCAAACCTGCAGCTGTGGTACTCTCACTACCTCCGAGCGCTAAATCCTGTTTCACTTGGAGCCAGAAGAAATAAAACAACAGTATTCGCGGTATTGTCCTTGATTCATAGTTGATTGGTGCCACAGTCAAATCTACACACACAAGTTTTGACTTTGAGGGCAACCCTGGATTCCCCAGCAACCATAAAATGTAGTCTAAATAGGAATCAGGTTAGAATTCCCATTCTCACCATCAATACGTAGCTGTATTGTAATTAAGGAATAGAAATGTGTGTAGATGCGGAACAGCTTGTTTTAGATGGTCATTTTGTGGCAAGGGAGGTGGGGAATAGGAAGCAGGTCTAGTCTCTAGCAGAACCTGCTGTTCAGTAGAATGGGCTGCACAGCCGACTAAAATGGTGAATTATTGATTTACTTCATCACATGGGTAAAGATATAGTCATAGGACCTTGGGATAAATATGGCGCCACTATGTGATAACGTGCGATGTGTAACAGGCAAAACTAGGGTAATGTAAGGACAGTGCTGTCCATTAATCATTTTCATTATGTGCATTTATTGGGTTTTCCCTGAATGGCAGAGTTAAGAGATTTATAGCCCTGCATTCCTTGAACTTTTCAACTTTTGTTTGAAAGAAGACTTAAAGAGGCACAGTCATTTCACCAAAAAAATATGCCTGGCAAATCTCTTCTCACTTTGTTACCCGAATGCGTGCTGCGAGATGTCATTCGTGCCCAAAGACATTGTGCTGTGGAAATGTTATTGAATGAAAATAGCCTTCTCTGGACTATATACTTCTCTGCCAGTGACAATCTCCCACCTCCTCCCCCACAGCCCCCAGTCCTGTCCATTCTTTCCTCTTCTTAAGTCAGAATAATTTCAGATAGTTAAAGTGTCCTGTAGTTTCTTAATAAAACTTGCATTTACTCAGATGTTCATTGTACCAAAAAAACACTTCCCCTCCCCCACCACCACCAAAAAAATAAATACACATTGAAATCTAAAGTTTATACAGAGAAGTAGGTGGTGGAATTCACATACTGTAGTAAGAACCACTTCTTGTAATATAGGAAGGTAGATATTCTGGAATGAAGAAATCAAGGGAGATCAGATGGGGCAAAGGGACTTCTTTAGCTGAACTTGTTTCTTGTTCTTTCGGGAAGTATCTAACCGATTAGGTCACCAGGAACAGATGGAGTTGAGTGTGGCTTCAATCCCAGGCTGGCCTGGGCAGGGGTACATACTTTACTGCAGACTGACTGACGGTGCACTTTTACAGATATATCGTGGTGGGTTCATCTTGTAAGGAAGGCAGACTCTGCTGTTTAAGCCAGTCATTTTTTTGTGAGTAACGTTTGAAGGTTGTGCAGTCTGCACCGATGCTGATTGGCAAGGTGGTCAGAATGTCTAAACAATCCAGTCATTATAGGAACAACCTATTCATTTTATCGGTCTCTCTTTATCTGCTCGATTTACTTTTCTCTAACCCACATTACACCTCTGAATAGTGGCCTTGAAACGAAAAATGAACACGAGTTTAAAAGAAACTATGGGACCTCACTTCAATGTATTTCATTTACCGCAGGTTTAAAGTAATCTTTACACTGGATTCAGCACATTGCCTTTTCAAGGCAAAACATCGCAAAGCTCTATACTGGTCAGCTATCCTCCAAATAAATTGGTTATTCACTTCATTGGCTTTGGTGGGGGGAGGGACCTTCCTGTGTGCAAATTGATTGTCCCGATAGTCACTACACTTGATAGCAGTTGCCTGAATCGCAATACAATAAAATTTCAAACTCTGGTCTATGCTGTGTGCAAATGTGGCAGCTAAACTGCGCCCCACAAACAACAATGAAGTCTTGAGCAATAAAAACCCTCTTAGTCGGCCAACTAAATACATTTTCCTTGATTCAAAATTTCTTGATTTATAGCTATGGGAAAGAAAATATTGATTTAACACAGACTTATCTAGAGACAAGTGCGAATGTTCAGCAGCCACTTCTCAGTGGCCCTCTGAGCCACTCCTGGCCCGCTGATCATGGGTTGGCCTCCACTGGTCTACACTATGAGCTCAAGCCCTAGTGTGGGGTTCGTATTCAAACCTTTCTGACACAACCACGAGAGTGCTACAAACTAATCTGAGCTAACATATAGAATAACATGGAACGTGAAAAGGCCATTTGGTCGGTCAGGTATGAATTTTCCTTTGTCTTCTCCTATCCCATTCCTAATAACAAATAATAGGAGTGTGTACAGTAATCCTTTTGAATTCTTTGGGACTGGAGTGTAATGTGTGGCAATAGGTTATGCAAAGTCTAGCAAAACATAAATGGAACCAACTGTGTTTTGTCAGTTTATGAAAACGCCTAAGTGCTGCAGTTTCCAGAATTATCACACTGTTTGGATAACTGAATGCAAATGAAATGTGACTGTTCTTACTTGCTTGGCACACAGCAGAGTGTTTAAATCATCTGTTTACAGTGTTGGCTACGCCTTATGACTATAAAGCACTGAGATCAGGCTAAGCATTTTATATAAACTAGCAGTTTCTTTCTCCAAGTGAGCACTGAATCATAGAAATTACAGAGCGGCTAAGATGGTGCTAACTCACCCACTGGATCCAGCTCACTCGAACACTAATTCCCTGCTCTATGCCCTTACTCTTTCATATTGTTCCCCTTTAAATATTTTACAGTTCTCTTTTTAAAAGAACCATTTCAGTAAATTCAAAATGAAAAAGAATCAACATCTTTGGAATAGGAGAAAATTGGCCAAACAAAAACCTGACTGACTATGGCATGAAGCAAGTGCATAAAGTTGCTCCAGTTAGATTTGTTCCTCCACAGGTCACAATTAAATTGCTTCATGTCACTACATTAAATTGCCTTTTTTTCCCGTACAGATGTTTTGCTCTCTGTAGTCAATCCATCCTTGGCTCTGGATCTTGGCTTTGGTGTACTGTGCGAGCTTCTACAGATCTGGAGGCAGACCTATCCTGGAGTCTTGGCCATCATTAAGTGGATGCTGGAAGAAGATGAATACAATCAGAACCTGGTACCTTCACAGTAACCCATTCCTCTGGCACTTATTTTAACAATCTGAGGCCCAAAATTCCACCTAGTCTCAGCGTATTTTGTCTGTGAAGAATACTTTGTCTCAGAATGTAAGATTGTGCGGAATTGTGAACAAATTCTTGAAGCCACTTTTTCTTTTTTTGAATTAAGAACAGCTTTCAAATAAGACTGAATTTAAGAACCTGCCACAATTCTACACGATCGTGAATGTTAAGACAAAACGGTCTTAAGACGAGGTGGAAATTTTACAACATTCTACCACTGTTGGAAGTCCTTCTTTGCTTTGTTTTAATATTGAAAGATGAAACCAACTGAGCTGTGACTGGTTGCAGAGTTACAACCTTTCAAATTATTTAAACACTGTTTAAATACAATTTATCTGTCATTAGAAACTTTAAATATGATTTATGCTGAGGAGGTTCCACTATGTCTGGCTGCTCTGCTGATCCCTCACTAATGTGATGGTTCTTCCTGCTCAAGCATTGTGACCCAGGCCAAAACTTCTCAAAGAAGATGCCGCCTTTTGGATGAGAATTTAAAACCATCCATCCAGCCCACTCAATTCTCAGTTCCCTGCTCTATCCCCTTATTCTTTCATATTGTTTGCTATGGATCTTGGCTTTGGCTTACAGGTTACAGAAGTTACAGATCCCATTAAACTGTTTGAGAAGAGAAAGTTGGTTCTCCAGCTGTCCTAGGTTTAACACATCATTCGAAGAACGCCACCTCTGACAATGCAGTGCTCCCGCAAACAGTGCATTGGAGTGTCAGCCTAGCCTATTTGTGTTTGAAATCCCGGCATAGGGCTTGAACCCACAATCTTCTGACTCAGAGGCAAGAGTGCTACCAGCTGAGCAAAGCTGATACCTCTTCACAATAAGACCACAGAATTGCAATTTAAAACCATGCAGAAAATTGAAACATTCTTAAGCTCAGTCTTAAGATGGAAGCTGTTTTTCAGACTGCAAAGAAAAACAGTTCCGAAATTAAAATTGTGTTTAAGAATTTTTCAAAACTCTGTTCAATCTTTAGTTTTAAGGGAATGGTCTTGTGGCAGGGCGGATGAAAATTTTCGGGCCTCTGATGTACTGACTTTTCTCGAGGACTGTTAAGACCATATTGTAAACCATGTGCCTTTACTTCAAGGGAGAAGATGACTTTCTCTTTGAGAAAAGTGAAATTAACCTTTGGGCAGAAAAAATCACCTTCCTCAACCTCATCTGGAAGCACCTCTCGACCCTCCTCTCCGGTGCCCAGGTCCCGGTGGGCAATGAATCAGAGCTCAGGAGTTTGGTGACGCTGGCGGAAGACCAAGCCCAGCGGGTTGGATTTCTTGGGAGGAGCCTCGGCCCAGCGCCCGAATTCTCCCAGACGGCCGACTGCACAAGGTTCAACATTCAGAAAATCAGGCTCTCGAAAGTGACCCAGTTATTGAGTCTGGTTGGACTGGACGCCGCAATTCCAGCTCACTTCTGAAGTGGAATGATCTCATTATTTTACTTGGCTCTGCGCTGAGGAAAAACAGGTCAGCTGAAGCAAAAGCATAACAAAGAGCGGCTTGTTGTGGTTTGTGAAGATTGTATCCCACAGATTTGTATGTCTTACCACATGAAGATTTTTTTTTCGTATGCCAGCGGTAATTACGTGACAGCTATTTCCTTCTTTTGCAGCTGAACAGTAAGTTTTATTGGTATCAAAGAGAACTCGTTGGGGAATTAATGTTATGGTACCCATACACCTGGAGTCCAAAAAGTGACAAAATGAAACCGTGGGGTGGGGGCTGGGGGGTTGTGGAAGGCAGAAGAAAGTTGGGGACAGATTGGTTTATCTGTTTGTAATAATTGATCCAAATAAAATAGACATTTATTGTTTGCTCTTTTTGGTTGGCTTTTAAAAGGATTTCATGGGATTCAGATTCAGCGTTAAGTGTCATGGCTGTTTGTGGAACCTTGCTGTGTGCAAAATAGCTAATTGTATTTGTGTAAGAATACACAGTGACAGCAATTCCTGTGAATTGCTTTCAATGTTTTGATGTGATAGGTGCTATATAGGATAATTATTTGTCATTCCACTTTGAGTGTCTGTGTATTTTCCCTTCTTTGCGCATGAGTCCCAATGTAATAACGAATGAAGAACTCTTCTCTCTCAATGGATTTCAGGCATATTGCATTCTGAATTTCCACGAGCCTTAGACTGAGAGCATTTTGTCTCAAAAGTTAAGAACTGCAGTTCAATCTTAATTTGGAAATTTCTTTTGCCAGCTCTTTAAATGAACCAGTTTTCAAAAAAGACTAAAATTGAAGAACTTTCCACTATTCTGTGTGAATCTTAAATTTTACAGCAAAACGGCCCTGGTTGTTCAAGCTAACACCAGGTGAGTTTTACGTTTCTTGAATATGAGGTTAGTGCACTCACTAAGCTTGTAAGTGATATTTTTTAGCTCAAGATAAGGTTGGTGGGAAACATGCAAAGTCACCAACACTCGGTTGTAGTGCTTGTAGTTTTGCTGATGCTGATGCTTTTTGGAGATCCTCTGTTTGGAATATGATTCACTCAGAAAAGGTTCTTTATTTCAGTCATGCAGTACATAATTGCAGTTGAAATGATAGATGCCGTTGAGTTGTGTAATGGATGATGTTGACTGATACCATCTCAGCCCTGGATGATTTCAGTTTCCTTTCTGATCAGCATTTCTGATGATTATACATGTCTCAACAAGTGGTTTGGAAAATGCTTTATTTTAATGAAAACTATTTTTTAAAAATTCACATTCAAACAATTTTTTCAATGCATTGGTTATATCGGAACACAGAAATCCACAAATGTTGGCTGTCAGATTATCTTTGGCAAACTGAAGTTGTGGGAATGCAAGAGGAAAAAAGATTTGCTGAATGAACATAGTCTGAATGATTCTAAAATGCACTGTATGGAGAACTGGTGCTTTTGCTTGGTTGTTGTGAAATTTAGAATCATAATAATCCTTGCTTTGATATAGTGCCCTATTGTGTAATCGAGACATATCAAAGTGTGTCTCAAGATTTAATGTAAAGTGCAGTGACTATGTATTTTGTATTTTGCACACAACGATGTCCCAAAGCAACCATGAAGTGAATGACCAGTTTTATCTGGAGGAGTGTCGGTCAGTACACTGGGAAAAACTTCCTTCTGGTTTTGATTGGTGCGATGGGATCTTTTAACGTCCACCTAAACAGACAGACATGACCTCGGTTTAAACGTCTATCCAAAGGACAGCACCTCCGACAATGCAGCACTCCACAGGACTGCACTGGAGTGCCAGCCTAGACTGACTTCAAAGTCCTCCAGTGAGACTTGTTCATATTTTAATTTTAAGACGTCCAAATTTTGCTTGTGATTCAGTTTATTCATTTTTCCACTCAGTTTATTAAATTCTTTTTCAATTGATCTTTGCAGTAGAAGATTGAAATACATTGGTCCGAAACCTTAAAATATCTGACATTGCATGGAGCCTTCCACGCCTTAGTGTGCAAGGGGCTAAGCAGAAGCTTGCGCACAACAATATCCCATCAACAGCCATGTTTTTAAAAATGTACTGTTGTACTAAATGTACTAAAAATGTACACACTAAAATGTACTGTTGGTCAGTACAATGACCAACTTCCTTCTAGACTGATTTAGACTTCCTTATGGAGAATGTAAGTCAGAGGCAACTCGTGGCCTCTCTTGCAGTTTTGCCTGGCGGAACTCAGAGTGGTTCAGAGGGAAGGTCACCTGCTTCCCCTGTCGTTTAGGAAATAGTGGTTGGCGCTGAAGGAACTTAAAAAGAACAGGGGGTGAAGGGGAGACATTATTTTATATAAATATTTAAATTGGTTGCAAAATTATTTTTAGCTGATGATAAATTTATAGGAAGTGAAATATAAGAGTAACTGCACAGTTTATCATTCTTTAGCTAATTATTGGTTAATTTTGCAGACCCCAGAACCCTGACATGGTCTTATTCTAAAGGTCATTGAGTTAAAATTTTAGACCATGAAGAATTTTGGAAAATTCTTTATTTTACTCTTAATTTGGAAACCAGTTTTGCTCAGGTTCGTTTTAAGGTCTTCAGAAACCTGACTTCCAAATTAAGGGTGAGTATTAGGGATTTTCAAAAAAAAAAGTTGCAGTCTTAATTCTAAGACAGTGGTCTTAAGGCTATAAAACTAAGTTGTTTTCCGTTTTCAAATTATTGAGCAGGATTCAAAATGGTACATAAAGAAAGTAAGTGAAAATATCTGTCCCCTTTATAAGCAGGGTGATATTTTGACACAACTCTTTTCTGAGGAGAGACCAAGCAATATGTATGGTGACATGATTTTAAAAAAAAACACAAGTTAGAGCTTGATACTTTCTGATAAATATTCATACCCCATAAATATTAAATGTGTGTTTCACTTCAAAAGTGAATTTCAAGTAGCTTGAAAGAACAGTTACAAGCAGTAATTTTCTCTCGGTTAACCCTCCAACCTAATGCTGGGGATGTTAAGGAGGATCCATCTTTCAGATGAAACATTTCAAAAAACCGTAGGTCCTCTCTGGCTGTTCAGGTGGATGGTAATTCAAAAAGGGAAGGGAGTTTTTCCTGGTGTCTTGGCCAACAAAATGCATCGAAATAAAATTGGAGTTCACTTAAATAGCTGTTTGTGGAACATTGCTGTGTGCAAATTTGTTGCCTCGTTCGCCTTCAAATTACAATAAATTTACAGTATATCCTCTGAAGCGCTTTGAGATGTCTTTCTGACATGAAAGGTGCCATATCAAATTAAAGATTTTTTTAAAAAACATGTTGTTTCTCTTTTCACAATGTGCTGTTTGAGGCCTGTTCTGACCTTATTATTCCCACCACACCAATACTACATTGTCAATGCCCCATGGCGCTTAATTAACTGGGTATTCATCTCTCAAAAGGGGAAGGGGATTTAAATTCATTTAACTTAATGATTCAGTAATGGACTATCTCGTGTCTTTGTTCTGGAGGCAATATGTGCAGATCTCCAGATGGTGGTGCTATGCGTGCATTTTAGCTATTGTAGCACGAAAACTGCAACGTTGAGCTAGCTGTCTTGTCTGTAAAACTCCCTGATAGTTCCCTCAATTGTTAAAACTACATCCCGAATGAATTAATTAGAATTATTGATAAGTTCTCGTGCTCATGTTGCTCCTTGGAAGTTCAGTGGAAGCAGTGAAAGGCCTATAGATATGAACAGAAGTGAGTGAAAAGCGGTTTCCAAAACAACCGCAAGCTCAATATTTTGGTACAGTCGACGTAATAAAAAGACTAGCGTCAATTGCCAACTGGTTATATTCACTTCCAAAAAAAGGGGGGGCAACTGAAATTAACCCATTCCACTAACTCCATCTAGAGTGGAACCTCGATTGTCCACAACTCACTTATCCATCATGATCTGAAAGTCAAGACAGGGTATCGGTGGGAAACTTGGAGTGCTTCTTTATATTTGAAGACCACTTAAGGCAATCCACCGAATGTCTCCCTCCATTTTGACCTCGCTCCCCTTACAACTAACCTTCAATACAATATACATCAGTTTGAGATATCATCTCAGAAGCTGGTCAGGGAAGATGTACCCTTTCTTAAAGTGACCTGTCTGTTCTTTATTAGGTTATTTTCACAAAGTTAATCTTCCATTCTGCTTCTGATTATTGATTCCAATACTTGGCCAAGTATTGAATTCAGGCTAATGGATCTGAACTTGCAAGGTATGATTTTGTCACCCTTCTTGAATTTGAGAATAACCATAATTTACATTTAAATTTATTTAGCAGCTTTCACAATGAGACAAATCTTAAAGTCACATTTGTTTGTTGTTCCAATCTCCCCACCATTCATTGACTCCCTCAAAAATGACAGTTCAGTGCTTCACAAATCTCCTCCCTTGTCTCTCTAAATACCCTGGGGTATAGTTCATCTGTCTCGGGAATTTATTGCTTTCAGCCCTGTGAGCCTATCGAGAATCTCTCCCTCATTATTGTCAAACTCCTGAGGCTCAACATAACTTGTGATGGATGCTGAATGACATATTGTTAGTGTTCTCCCTCCACACAGTCAGTCAGATACATTCACTATCCCTGTTCCCCTTACTCCCACCCCTTGCCATTTTCTATTTACAATTTATTCTTGAGCAGATTTAGACAGCAGAAATATTTTACACCACATCAGGTATAATCAGGTATACACTGTAGACCGTCGCCATGAGTGTATGAAAACATCTGTGCAGGGTTTTTTCTCTCAAAGGGGGAGAGAAAGTAACAAAATGTCCTTTTATTGTAACTTAACACTGATCGTACTTGTCCAGTGATGGAAAATCACCCTTCTACAACAGTGAAATGAACTGCACCAATGATCATGCCATATAGTTAACATGGTCAAAAAACGCATTTAACCCCATACCTGGTAAGTGCAGAGACAGAGAGTGGAGGAGGATTCAATCCATTTTAAAGATATTTCAATATGTCAATTTCAATTAACTGTGGGGGGGGGGGGCAGGCTCTTCCATTTGAATGGATAATTTATTAAGAGCAGTCAATAAGCTGGCCTGTTTGTCTGAGTTGTCCTCAGTTTGGGATTTTTGGTTCCCCACAATTTTAAACTAAAACAAATAAATTCATAAAAAGTGTCTTGTTGTGGTAAGTTGCCTGAGGTGGGTGTCCACAACGTGAAGTTCCACTGCACAGGAATAATTTCCATGCAGGTTATCTCATCCCGTTCCTTATAGAGCTACATGAAACTCTCGGACCACATCACTGCCACTTCACGTCAATCCCTTTATAATTTCCACTTATCCCAATAGGTAATAAGTTATACAAACGTGCACAGTTTATCCCACAAAGC